CCCCAAAACCCCAAAACCCCAAAACCCCAAAACCCCTGCAAATTCCTCACAAATTGAACCAAAACATTAAATTTTATCATTAAAAGAGAGTTAAATACAATTCAAAAATCCCTCAACTAACCTCAATTATACAACAAACCTACCATAAGGCACTACCAGCACTACATCAGGTCAGACCTCATCCACTGTACCCCCAGCACCTTCTCCCCTGAACCCCCTCCCCTCCAGCCTCCTTCTGAACCCACCAGTACCGCTCCTTAGCCTCACCCTAGAAGCTTCTAGAATCCAAGTTTTTAGCTGAGCCCCAAGTCCTTGTCGTACTCCTAGCTTGGAGTGGCGGAGTAGTACTGAGATTAAATTAAATTACCAAATCCAACAAAATCTGTGAAGAAACTATACTTACAAACCATCCTGTCCAAGCAGTAAACTCTCTAAAACACATCCTATTTAGGATTTGATCTCAGTTAATTTTAATTAAAGGCGAAACTTCAGGCCAAATTATCACTACCTTTTCGAGGTATCTGAAAAGCACTCTTAGAATCTTTGGATAACTCCCCTATTTTTACTTTACTAGCTAACTCCTGCATTGATGAAGTTGTAAAGGGAAGCCTTAAGTGATCATTTCATAGATCAAACAGTCAAGGAACCAGATATCACTTCTGTTATCATATGGCTTGTTCATCCATACTTCAGGTGATGTATAGTAAGGAGTTCCTGTTTGAATGTACACTAAACCCATCTTAGTAACTTTGGACACATTTAAATCACCAAGTTTAGCAGTTCCATCCTTATTCATGAAGATATTGGCGCATTTCAGATCACGATGGGGGATCTTGCTCTTATGGAGGGCATCAAGTCCCTTGACTATTTGAATCAAAGTTTTCCAAATTTCTGCTTCAGAGAACAACTTTTTTTTCTGTTCTACGATTCTCTGGTATAAATCTTCTCCATCACAGTACTCCATGACAATACAGAGAATGACAGAACTCTCTTCTAAGAAGCACTCTTTATAAGAGATAATATTATAATGTTGGGCTGATGCCAATATACTCACCTCGTTCAGTGCATTTTCTTTCTCCTTCACAGGCTAATATTTTTGTGGATTTTTTTTATTATTCAATAAAGCATGCCAAGCAAGGGGTTTTGGGGTTTTGGGGTTTTGGGGTTTTGGGGTTTTGGGGTTTTGGGG